CTCTCGCTCGGTCTCTCTACCAACCAGCTTTAAAACCCGCGGGTCTAACTGATGCTTTTGGGCACAAACGCCGGTCCTGAACCCGAATTTTAAACCCGAACCTAAAACCCTGCTTTCACACCTGTAGTCTGTTGCTAACGCTTGTCAGTATCAAAGTGATCCTGTCCCCCTGGTGCTACAAACCCGTAGTAGTTAGTAACAATCACGCTTTGACGTCTATGTCACTACACTTGTCCTGATGTGCCGCAGGTGGACACGTCTCTCTGCCAGCGTCTGCTTCAGCTTCTGCCCTAGCTTGACCTGTAGCCATGGCTCCAGCGCAGTCTTCTCCACTTCGCGTGTGTAGGGCGCTAGTACGCGGCTGGCAATGTCCTATCCGACATTGGATTGACATTGAGGAGATTCAATATACTTAGACGAGACAAGGGGAAGTACCATCAATGCAGGTCCTGATTCTTCTTGTCACAGTCATACTGAATGCTTGCGGGAAACATGATTTTCTTTATATGTTCTATAGCCAGCAGTACCTTATGTATAATATAATATAGAAACTGAGGTATGAAGATTTAGACATTTTCACCATACAAGCCTCATAGACCAGCATGAAGACAATGAAAGTGCCATCGCTGAGCCGACGACACAAGTTGGTCAGGCTTTGCTTGGTCTGTGACCCCACATTGCGCTCTGTCTGCTCCAGTCGGACCAGCAATGAACCGTGGTACAGCTTGTAATTTCTGTACAAATGAGCTGGCGCACCCGACAGAGAGGCCAACTTCCTGGTTCCAGAGAGCTGGTCAACTGTTAGAGCTCGCTCATTGAAATGCTCGGCAACACCACGAAGGATTATTTTGCCGGCATTCACACCGAACAAACGATTGCATTCAGCAGCAATGTTTAGCAACTCCTCGAGCATGGGTATCTTCTGGGCAGCTGCCTGCTGTGCAATGTCCGAGCGGTGGAACAAACCCCAAACCGTCACGGGCTCGCATGCACCCTTGCATTCTGACCAGAAGATTTCGGCCGACTTTGTGCTGGAATGTCGCGCCTCCGGTCCTCCTCTGGTGATCGCTCCGTCTCCTCCGCATGCTGCCAATCTTCTACGCAGATTTTCAGTGCCGATGTGATAAGGGAGACCCTTCAAAGTTTCAGAAACCAAGGCGGCTTGACTCTGACCATCATGGAACTGTCCGCTGCTGGGGCATCCGATGAGGCGCGCGTCCAACTGCCCGGTCTGGACATTGACGAACGACAAATTGATGGCCAGCAGGTTCTCGTGCTTGCTGAACATCGCACGTCCAAGACTACCGCCGTCCCAGCTTAAAGAAAAGTGGCTGGCAACACCCAGTGCCGGAAGCCTGCTGTGAATGTCAATGCTGTCCAGCATCCGCAGCGACATTGCCCCCAGGTGCTCCACCAAGCGGATAAATTGAGAACTGTGGTATTTCTCACCCACAGACAAGCCTGCCAGCTCGCATCGCTTCAGATTCCTGATGACGTGTTCATCCGGGAGTCCATGGGCACTGTTTCCTGAGAAAGGGTCATAAAGACATCTAGTTTCCTACAACCAATCTTTCCGACTAGTCCAAGAACCATGGCAATCACAACTCTCTGCATAGCCGAGGCTAAGAATCCCAGAATCTCTCTGACTAGCACCCGCATGACCTGCGAGCTGTCAGGCTTAGCCGAGACTGTGTCTTTGTGGGCCTGGTCTTCATTGACACGGACAGTGTTATTGGCGTCGATCTTCCAATTCTGCTTGGCCAATTTCCTGAATTACAACGAAGGAGAATGCTTCAGCCAAATTAAAACAATGGGTTCAGAAGATCATGACACAGCCGAATGGGACAATGACTTTGCTAAGTGCTAAGCTTCTGGTACATGCCACGCAAGGTTCCTTCTGCCAATCGGACCAAACAAGAAGCCGCCCTGAAAGGAGCGCTGCTGACACTGCACGCCGGGAATGCTGGCAGGTGAGCCACCAAATCTCTCAAGATACGTGATGGTACCTTTTTCAGGTTCAATGTCAGGTTCGTAAGAAGAACGCAAGATTGATTTGTTATTGGGGCCCACCGTCGGCGCACAAATGCACCCACGTTCAACCCAGGTTTCCACTGCAAGTCCTCTGTGCCCTCCTCCTCCACGTCGTCCAGCTCTAGCGAAAACCCGTCAGGCTGAACTTTGGTACTAGAGGAAGCGGCAGCAGCATCAGGCAACCAGCTAAAGTCCAGCATATCTTCATCCACACTCAAGTCGAAGCCCTGATCCTCTTGTACATCTGCAAAATCGAACTCTTCCACAAAATAAGCTTGCTCTTGCAAGCAAAATCCTGTAGTTTCTTCTTTCTCGGACGGGCAAGCAAATCCAGCAGCTTTCTCGGACTTCTCCATGGTATGTGAATTGACAACCCGAGTTTACTGTGTTTCACAGTTCTGTTCCCTTTATGCCTGAGTTGGTTGAGGGTGAGTTGGTTGAGGGCACCTGTTTGTAGACAATTGTCTGGGCTGGACCCGGGCAACCGACAGGTTGACGTTCAACTGTTGCTACAGTGTTACCACGCGAACAGCAATGCTACGGCATGTGAGAAAAAGTGGATCCTTGCCTGCACCATCACAATACGAAGCTTGAAATGAAAGGGGCAGCGGCTTAAGAATTTCAGGCATCAGGAACTTGTGAGCCGTGGGTCCCTGCTGCAGAGAGACATTGTAACATCTCAGGACAAGGCTGGATCATCCTCGTCGCGGCCTCTTTGCACAGAACCTGGCAGCAACAGCCAGGCTTCAAGAACAACTTCCCACTGGCGGTGTCTCCCTGCTGAAGAAGCTTGGCAGATTGACATTTTTTGTCTGCGACTCTGGCAGTATACTACTGAGCGGCAGTCCGAATCTAAACAAGCTAATAAACAAAACTGGAGGCAGCAACTCCCGTGCACACGCTTCTTGTGGTCCGGGATTCACTGAAGAATTCATAGCACATTTGTGATGCATGCACTGCATGTGTGTATAACCTAGCCGAGAACCCTTTTTCCCAGACCCTGACAATCATGAAGTATCAAATTGCCTCTGCACATGCAAGCGCAATGCCTAGGATGGCACCCACAGAGCTCACATGCATGGTGTTCCCCAGCTCACCCATGCCATACATATCCCGGCATACATCCAACGGAACTCCAGCATTGTCCGCGCCGGCCTGAAACGTGGGGAAGCCCATGACTGCGCCCAATTCAATGGGGGTGACATGTCGCCTGGTGGGATCGTGCCACAAGGCGGTGCCTCGTCTCAAGCAGGGCAGGGATCCTTTGGTATCAAAGGTTGCTCGCTGCTGTGCGTCTTGAGACAAGTCGAAGAAGCACGGCTTGGGCCTCTTCTCAGCAGTGAGCTCCTTGTACTTCGGCAAATCCCTGTCAGGTAGGTACAGGCTCACTGACTCTGAACAGCCCGGGAGTCACTTTGGGTGTGCCACTAAATAAAATAACAAATAATAACCCAGCCAACTAGAATCAGTCATGAAGCTTCCTTTGTCGCTCGGTCAACAGGTAGCCCCAATCAGGCGAAGCTTCTGTCAATGACACCATCTGTTTCTTGCGGCGCAAGAAGTTCTCGTGCTCCACCAACACTTCTTTGGATGCCACCAAGCAAGACTCAGGGCCAAGAACTGGACATTGATTCTGCATGATGGTTGAGATCCTTCTGAATGCTTCAGCCGGATTGTGCGTCAATCGCAAGTGCTGCCGTGAAAGTAGAATACCTTGGTTCTCCATTCAATCTCACATACCAATTATCAAACCGATGTTTCGTAAACCTGTGAAAAGCAAACAGATATCAAGAAACCAAGACGCTGTATAGTCTTGGCCTTTTAATTAAGCTGAATCCGGTCTGGCTTGGTGACACTGACACGTGGAAGATGTGATATTGCTGTCCCATGACAGTGTCAAGCAGCTCTTTCCTGTCAGGGTTATCTGCATGTTGTGTGTTGGCCGCCAACTTCGCAGCAACCAAGCATAGATCAGTCTTGAAACAAGCGGTCCTAAATCCAATCACATTCTCGTGGATTGCGAATAACAAGTCGCTCTTCAGCACCCAGACCATCCAGCAAAGCAGCGGGCGAACCCGCGGATCTGCAGCACCTAGATTAAAGGTTGAAGATAAAGTTATCCGTGACTGTGAATGTCAAAACAACAGCGCCACTGCAGATATGCTGCCTCTCCCTTTGCCGGACCGTGACCACGGTTGACAAGGGGATCCGCAAATATCCCCATGCACTGCTGGGTGTTGGCATCGGCACATGTGCTGTGTGCAGTCACGTTGTTGAGCTTCCTGGCAGAATTCCTTCAGCACCTTGACAACTGCTTCTGGTTCGTGTAACTTCTGATCCCAGCCAGGAAAGAAGTCAAAGATGTTTGAGAACACATGCCGTTCGGATGAATGGCCAACCAGAACCCGTCGACAAACTGGACTTGTGTCACAAGCGGATGTACACCTGATGCTGACACTGAAGCCTAGCTCCCTGGCAGAGTTGGCCACCAGCATCTCTGCAGCGACCTCTGCGGCACCGATGCCCGAACAATGCGTGGAAATGTTCAACTTCTTGCCCAGCAAACTCCGCTGTAGTGTTGCTGCTGAGCAATCCAAAGCTTGCAGCATCGCCCACCAAAACCGGGCCGGCCATCGGAAAGCTTCAGCCAAATTACCATTCATTGCCTCAGGGCTACGAAGATCTGGCCCTGACAGGGCTGACATGGTCTTTCGTTTTCCTCGCGGCCCCTGATGTGACTCGCCGTCTCCATGAACTGTGTCGTTCATCATCATCACAAAGCCTTGCGGTGGCTCTGCACAATCTTCTGGCCAAAGAAAACCTTCGCTTGAAGCTGCCATGATGGCTTGAACTGAAACCCCCTCTCGAAGTCTTCCAAGTCGAGATCGGTGTTGTCTCTGTCTGGTCGTTGAGGAGGCTTCGAAGATCCAAATGGCGGGGACACGGACTAGGACCCAAATAAGCATCAAGGCTCAGTTTACAGATTACAACCAAAAGACTGTCATAAGCCCTAGCATTCTGCGGTCTGTGTTCTAGAGTCCATATTGTGGTCATCCTCTATGGTACTATAGAACAGAGCCTAGACACACAGTCCATAAGCAGCACAATTTGAGCCGATTGGCCACATGACGATCTCAAGGACATGGCTGGCTGCCAGACCACTGTCGCTGCGCAGCCTCGAAGAGGGAGCCGTCATGTGGGGTCATGCCACCCAGGCATGTCCTCGCCGAGCATGTGCACCTTGAAATTACAGGGTGGACAGTACTGAATGGGAGCCATGCCAGGTCTTTCACGTCAGGCAGACGGTCATCCAGCTGAGTGCGGGACAGCTGTTAGTACTGCCAACCTTCAGCGCGAGCAATATTCAGTACAGTGTTCGGTATCCGGAAGATGCGCTTTGCCGGTGCCCAAACACAGGAGCCTCTCTACAAGGTGCATGACACCCTTCAGCCAAAGCGAGACCGCTGTCGGCGGAACATGCGGCTTCGTGCTAGCAGAAAAGATCAGGCTTTAATCGGGTTCGAGCGGCTCTCCGCTCCAGACTTCCAGTGGTCCAGCAACTTTGTACCGGCCACCGACCTCCGTCAAACAGCAAAGGAGTGACCCTGCGAAGTGCAAGAAACTTTGGACACTGACATGGCAACCTTGTAGCGACAGGAGCCGTCTGGCAGCAAGCTCTACATTACAAGCAGCCCACATCAGTCAAATAATTGACACAACACTCCATGCTTCACAAAGGCCGAAGCATCCTGTTTGAAGCTAAGACGAGGGCCGCGAGCAACGAAGCTGCAGGGGCGGACCACCAAGTCAGGAAAGGCCGCGGCAAGCGAGCAGTTTGTGGACATTCGAATGTCCACAAACCGCTCGTTTGCCGCGACCTCAATCTTTCTTCCCTTGCAGGAAAGGCCGCGGCAAGCGAGCAGTTTGTGGACATTCGAATGTC